GAAACCTCTGTTCTAAAATGCAACGGCCCTTAAGTTCCTCTCCTCACCATTCCCTGCCATGTCAACGTGTAATCCACGAAGAAATTAAATCACATAGAAATGTGGAAGACAACCAGGCACATGGCACATGCCTGTAATTCCAGCACTTTGGGAGGCCAAGGTGGCAGGACTGCTTGAGCCCAAGAGTTTGAGACCAGCCTGGACAATACAGTGAGACTCTGCCTCTCCAAATAATTAAAAAATTAGCTGGGCATGGTGGCATGTAGCCCCACCTATTCAGGAGGCTGAATGAGCTATGACTGTGCCATTACACTCCAGCCTGGACAACACAGTGAGACCCCCATCTCAAAAAAATAAATGTGGAAGACACTTTTGGGAAGAGAATACAATTGATCCCATCTTTCTAAAGGATAACGAGATAATAGGTATCAATATTTTAAATGTACTTTTTTTTTTTTTTTTTTTTGAGATGGAGTCTCAGTCTGTCCGCCCAGGGCTGGAGTGCAGTGGCGCTGATCTCACTCACTACAATTGTCCGCCTCTGGTTCAACAACCTCCCTGCATCAGCCTCCGCTGAACAGCTGGGATTACAGGCACACAACATCCCACGCTGGCTGATTTTGTATTTTTTAGTAGAGAATGGGTTTCACCATGTTTGGACAAGCTGGCTCAAACTCTGACCTCGGCATCTGGCCCCGCCCCCTTGGACCATCCCCCCAATGCTGGGATTACAGGTGGGGTGGGGGCCACTTGCCAAAGCTGGCCCTAAATGTACCATATCAAATAAATTAAAGGACTGTAAAACAGATATAGTACCCAGGTGCCCAGGGCCCCATGCCTGGGCTCATGCCTGTATACCCAGCCCATCGGAAGCCCCCTTTGAAAAGCCCAAAAGGGAGTTTGGCCCCCTTGAAACTCAAGAGTTTTTGAAACCAGCCTGGAGGTAACAAAGGCGAGGAAACACTGTTCCCCCCTTTCCTAATGTTTAAAAAATAAAATAAATATTAAATTTAAGGGAAAGAAAAGATAGGACTAGGGCAGTGGGCCCTTCACACCTGTAAATCCCCATCATTTTTTGGGAAGCTCCAAAGGGGCCCAGGGTGGATCCACAAGGTCAAACGTTCCAAAAGACCAACAGCCACTATGGCCCAGGAATGGTGGAAACCCTCTCCCCACTAAAAAATTAACCAAGAATTTAGCTTAGGCCCAAAATTAGTGGTGGGACCGCCCCCTGTAATCACAGCTTACCCCCTCGGGAGCCTTGAGGCCCAGAAAGAAACTTGCCCTTCCCCAGCCCAGGGAAAAAGCAGAAAGGCCCTGGGCAGTGAGCCCGAGGAATTCGCCAGCTTTGCATAAAACTCCAGCCTAGGGTTGGGACCCAGAGACTCCATCTTTCAAAAAAAAAAAAAAATAAAAAGCCCAGGGGCGCAGTGGGCCTTCACCGCCTGTAATCCCCAGCACTTTGGAGGGCCTGAGGCCAGGGCGGAATCACAAGGTCCCAGGGGAGAATCGAGACAACCCCTGGTTGAACCACGGTGAAACCCTCCGCTCTACCTTAAAAAATACAAAAATTAGTCCAGGCGTGGTGGCAGGCCGCCCTATAATTCCTCCAGCCTGCCTGGGGGAGCTGAAGCCAGGGAGAAATGGCCCAATAACCCCCGGGGAGGCAGAAAGCCTAAGTGGGGAAGCAGAGATTCAACACCACTCACCCAAGCCTGGCGACAGGACCCCCGGAGAACTCCTAATTCCTCAAAAAAAAAAAAAAAGAAAAAAAAGAAAAACAAAAAGAAAAAAAGCTGGGACACCATATATCGATATTTTTTTGTTTCTGTAATCACTTACTAGTTTTGTAGACTTGAACAAGTGGTATAGCTGATCTAAGCCTCAGTTTCCTCATATGTATAACAGCAATAGTACATATTACTTAGGAGTGTTTGAGAAATCAATCAATAAATGTATTCAGAATAGTGCTTAGTCAATAGGTCTTCAGATATTATTTTTCTTTCCTTAAGCACCTATCATACAACTGGCCTATACTAGGTATTAGATACACAGTAGCATATCTAATACGTAGGTTTCACCATGTTGGCCAGGCTGGTCTCAATCTCTTGACCTTGTGATCCACCCGCCTCAGCCTCCCAAAGTGCTGGGATTACAGGCATGAGCCACCATGCCCAGCCTATGGCCTGTTCTGTTTTTTTGTTTATTTTTTTGAGATGGAGTCTCGCTCTGTCACCAGTCTGAGGCTTGTGGTGCCATCTTGGCTCACTGCAAGCCCACCTCCTGGGTTCATTGCCATTCCCTGCCTCAGCTCCCAGTAGCGGAACTACAGGCGCCGCCACCACACCAGGCTAATTTTTTGTATTTAGGTAAGACGGGTTTCCACCATGTAGCAGATGGTCTCAATCTCCTGACTCGTGATCGGCACCTCGGCCCTCCAAAGTGGCTGGGATTACACGGCGTTAGCCACTGCGCTGCCTGGCCTGTTCTTTTTAAGGACATCTTTCCTCTGGTCACCCAGGCTTGGAGAAAGTGGTACAATCATGCCACTGCCACCTCGACTTTCCTGGCAAGTGATTCCTTCCCACCTCAGTCTCCCGAATAGCTGGACTACAGGCAGTACACCACATCTGGCTAATCTTTATAGAAAATGGTTCTATGTTGCCCAGGCTAAGTTCGACATCTGGACTCAAGGATCCTCCTGCTCAGCCCTTCCAAAGTGCCCTGAATTACAGGTGGAGCCCCAATGCCATCCCAGTACCTTACTCTTATTTATTTTTGAGACAGAGTCTCACTCTGCAATCCGAGGGCTGGAAGGTGCAGTGGCGTAAATCTCAGCTCACTGCAACTCTGCCCCCAGGTTCAAGTTTTCCTGCCTCAGTCTCCAAGGTAGCTGGGATTACAGGCGACTCCACATGCCATCTAATTTGTGGGTTTTTAGTAGGAGACGGGCGTTGTCAGCACTTGCCAGACTGGTGCTTGAACGCCTGGAAGCCTCGGCACCGCTAACCTCGGGCCTCCAGGTGCTCCCAAAGTGCTGGGATTTACAGGCATGGGAGCCACAGCTCAGCCCGATTGAAGCCAGCTCGACCACGCGGACTAGGTTGATATGGTTACTGCTTTGAAAGCTGTAATAAATTGCTGAGCTTGGTTTCGCCAATACACTAATACAATCCCCAAGCTTATCTGTAATTAAGCACCAAGTCCATTATTTATCGTTTTAATTTTAAAATTGTCTTAGAGATGGGTCCTTGCTTATGCCTGCGTAGAGGGCATATGGAGTAATCATGCCTCACTGCAGCTCAAACTGCGCTGGTCTAAGTGGCGATCGTCGCGCTTCCTCAGCCTCAAAGTGCTGGGATTGACGGGCAGGCGGTGGCCAGCTGCACCGCCGACCCAGTTTGATGTTGGCTTTGGGGTTTGAGACCAGAGCCTCGCTGTCACCCAGGCTGGAGTGCAGTAGGCATGATCTCGGCTCAGCTGCAAGGCTCTGGAGGGGCCTGTCCAGTTCACGCGCGCGATTGCTCGGTGCCTCAACCTTCCAAGTAGCTGGGTATGGAAGTCCGGGGCGCCTTGCCAAACGGGAGCGCCTGGGCGTAGGGTTGTATTTAGTAGAGAACGGGGGGCGGGAGGGAGGCAGAGTGGGGTCTGAGTCGGACCTGGCCGCACTCAGCTGCTCAGAGTGCGTGGGGGGGGAGGATTACAGGCGTGAGCCACCGCACCCGGCCATTTATTTCTTCTGTACATATTCCACCTCACCCAGCCCTCAAATATTTCTCAAATTAAAGAGGTTCCAGGGCCCTGGGCACACCCACCCCCAACAGACTTGTTGGAACAGGTACCTACCTCAGGTCATTCTTGAGTTCCACGACCACATCCTTGCCCACAAGGGACTTGAAAAAAGAATAGAAGAGCTATTGGGAGAGAGGGGGAAAACCATCATGTGGGAAGGAACATGGTAGGGAGGAGTATCCCTTGACAGTATTACCAAATACCGGTATTGTGAACCCCACTGCATCCCTAACAGTTCTCAAAATTTCACAAGAAAGAATAATTGGTTGAGAGGTGAAAGGCTGGAGCCCAAATTATTCTGCACACTGCATTGAGCCCATCACTTAAAGTCCCAGAGAGGCTCTGCCCTGCATACCTCGGCCTCCCCAGTGTGCTCTCTCAATCGACCACCTTTCTCGGGTACCTGCCCACTCCTTTCAATGAATTACAGAAAACATCCCACCCGCACCCTGCCGAAGCTTGCCTGGCAGAGAAGTGCTCTAAGGTCTAACTTTTACGTCTCCCGCTGTCCCCACTGAATCTCTCTCAGGGTTGGGGTTTTTTTCCTCATCATGGAAAAAAAAAAATCCCATTTGCTCTCAGGTGTCTCCTCAACGAACTTGAGGAACAGGACTAACGATGAAGATAAAAACTCCGGACCTAACTCCAGCCTAGGGGGACAAAGGCCAGACCCCCCTGCCCCAACCGTCCGAGATCCCCGAGGGCGCCCCCTTTTGACGTCACGGTACCCACCATGGTACTGGCGCAGCGGGCAGCGGGCCGGAGCGAGAAGAGAGCCGGATGCTGAAAGCAGGTCTGGGAGAACCGAAACGCGAGCCCGCGCGTGGGGCGAGGCGGGACCGCGCAGGCGCAGCGGGAAGGGACGCAGAACCCTCCAAGCGCTGAAGGGTAAAGCGCGGCCGACTTGCGGCTGGGAAGCGCAAGCTGGGTAAAACCGAGGGGAGGAGGAAGCCGGGAAAGGGGCGGGGTTTCCTTCGTTCCGACTTCTTCCAGGGCCGGCCGGCTCCCATTGCGCAGGCGCGGACCCTAGCCTGGGCTGCTAGGCGGGTGGAGGCAGTCAGCGTCTGAGCTCAAAGGATTTTGTTCTTTTCCATAACCCTGCCGTCCACAGCGTGATGTGTTCGTGCCCTCTACACACATCCTATCGAGAATTGTGGGGAGTTTGTGAAGATTATGAAGTGTGCACTTTTCTATATTTGTTAAAGTAAAAACATAAAATTCAAAAAATAAAATTAAAAAATGTTTTTAATCTTCAATTCAGCTGATAAAAAAAAAAAAAAGGCCGAGGGCGGTGGCTCACGCCTTCAATCCCAGCACTCTGAGAGGCCAAGGTGGATGGATTGTGTGAGGTCAGGAGTTCGAGACCAGTCTAGCCAACATGGTGAAGTCCCGTCTTCACTAAAAATACAAAAAAAATTAGCCAGGCCTGGTCGCGGGCGCCTGTAATCCCAGCTACTCGGGAGGCTGAGGAAGGAGAATCGCGTGAACCCGGGAGGTGGAGGTTGCAGGGAGCCAAGATCATGCCACTGCACTGCAGCCTGGGCGACAGAGCGAGGCTCGTCTCAAAAAAAAAATTGACCGGGCGCAGTGGCTGACGCCTATAATCCCGCACTTTGGGAGGCCAAGGCAAGTGGATCACCTGAGGTCAGGAGTTCTAGACCAGCCTGGCCAACATGGCGAAATCCTGTCTCTACTAAAAACCCAAAAATTAGCCAGGTGTGGTGGCACGCGCCTGTAAACCCGGGAGGTATAAGTTGCAGTGAGTGGAGATCGTGCCATTGTACTCCAGCCTGGGCAACAACAGTGAAACTCTTGTCTCAAAACAACAACAACAACAAAATGTTGAGGCCTGTAAATCCCAGCATTTTGGGAGGCTGAGGCAGGAGGATCATTTGAACCCAAGAGTTACAGTGAGCTACGATCTCCCCACTGCATTCCAGCCTGGGCAACAGAGCGAGACTCTGTCTATAAAAAAGAAAATTATAAGAAACAAAAAAATGTTGAGGAGTCCCAGAGATAAGGAGCTGGAGCACAAATTTTGGTTTTATCAAAGGTTACCAATAAATATATTTCTCCAAAGGAGCCAACCTCAATCTCCATATTTCTTACACACTTTTGCCAAGACTGTCCTGTAAAGGACTGAGTAAAAATAAAGAGACTGTGGCTTACAGATGCAAATAACCCAGTCTAACATTTCACTGCCAAATGTTTCAAACACAGACAGAAATGCACAGTTACATATCATTCTAACTCATGTCCCCCAGGTTTTTATAAATGTATATTAGGACACAGGTAAAAGAAAAAAATTTTTTTTGAGATGCAGTCTTGCTCTGTCATCAGGCTGGAGTGCGGTGCCACGATCTCAGCTCACTGCAACCTCCACAACCCAGGTTCAAGCAATTCCTCTGCCTCACCCTCCCGAGTAGCTGGGACTACAGGCGTGCACCACCATGCTCAGCTAATTTTTGTATTTTTAGTAGTGACGAGGTTTCACCATGTTGGGCAGGATGGTCTCGATCTCTTGACCTCATGATCCACCCGCCTCGGCCTCCCAAAGTGCTGGGATAACAGGTGTGAGCCACTGCACCCGGCCGGTAAAAATATTTTTTCATGGACTAAGACTTCATAAACTTATATTTGTCATCTTGCATAGAAGTACTTATTTGTCAAGAGTTTGTTATAGAAATATTTTCTGGGGCTAGGCATGGTGGCTCACGCCTATAATCCCAGCACTTTAGGAGGCTGAGGTGGGTGTATCACCTAGGTCAGGAGTTCAGAACAGCCTCGTCAACATGGTGAAACCCCATCTCTACTAAAAACACAAACATTAGCTGAGTGTAGTGGTGAGCGCCTGTAATCCCAGCTACTCAGGAGGCTGAGGCAGAAGAATTGCTTGAATCTGGGAGGCGAAGGTTGCAGTGAGCCAAGGTCGTGCCATTGCACTCCAGCCTGGGCGACAAGAGTGAAACTCCGTCTCCAAAAAAAAAAAAAAAAAAAGAAGAAAGAAAGAAAAGAAATATTTTCTCCATATAATGAATGTAAACAATGAACTCTGTGAGTGCACAGATGCTGAACCTCCTGGACCTTACCTATACATCAGGACATCAAGCAGGATTTGTCCCTCCACCCCAAGCTGAGTCCTAAACACCAAAACCAGCCTGTAACTGATTAAAAGCAGTTATAGTTTACAATCTGTTCCATCTGTGCTAAAGGTATCTGAGGATCAAAAATTATGTGCTGATTGAAACAATGAGTTCATGGGCCGGGCGCGGTGGCTCACACCTGTAATCCCAGCACTTTGGGAGGCTGAGGTGGGCAGATTCTGAGGTCAGGAGATTGAGACCATCCTGGCTAACATGGTGAAACCCCATCTCTACTAAAACAATACAAAAAATTAGCCGGGCATGGTGGTGGACGCCTGCAGTCCCAGCTACTCGGGAGGCTGAGGCAGGAGAATGGTGTGAACCCGGGAAGCAGAGCTTGCAGTGAGCCGAGATTGTGCCACTGTACTCCAGCCTGGGCGACAGGGCAAGACTTCATCTCAAAAAAAAAAAAAAGAAAAGAAAAGAAAAGAAAAAAAACCCCAATGAGTTCATGAAAATTCAAATACTTTACCCTTACTAATTTAATCATTCACAGTGAGCTCACAATCAGAGAACACATGCTCTCTCCATGAACTCTCCCCTTCGAGGTACATTCACAGCCTAAATACCAGAAATAATTTCCTTTAGGAACAAATTTACTGATTGACAAATAAGCATCCACACAGGAAGAAGAATGTTAGGGTGGCTGGAAATAACAGACATTCAAATACATCACAGGGTTTAAAGAGGGGCCTAGTTTTCCTGAGTCCATTCCAGAGTCAGAAACAGGATATGAGGGAGTGTGATAGGTGGTGCATGAGACTCCTCCTCCAGAATTCCCAAGGGATGGTAACTTAGGTTCAGGTCTGGTCAAGAATAATAACGATGTTTGAAGATGAGGGGAATGAAATACACGTAGAGGCATCCTAGGATGCTTCAGTTCCAAAAAGAATTAATCTACTTCTTCGATTGTGGGGCCTGTGGCAGGCCTTCCAGGCGCATACCCTGTTCCACAGGCAGGCCCAGTGCATCCTCCCTGGTAGAGTTTTGTGATGATGGGGTTACACATCTGCTCCAATTCCTTTCTCTTATGATCAAACTCATCTTTCTCTGCCAGTTGATTGGCCTCCAGCCACGAAAGAAGTTCATTGCATTTATCCAGTATTTTCTTTTTATCAGACTCACTGATCTTGCCCTTCAAACCTTCATCACTCACAACACTCTTCATGTTAAAAGCATAGGATTCTAAGGCATTCTTTGCAGCAATTTTCTCCCTCTGGACCTCATCTTCAGCTTTATATTTCTCAGCATCCAGAACCATGCGCTCAATCTCCTCCTTGCTCAGGCGGCCCTTGTCGTTGGTGATGGTGATCTTGTTGGCCTTCCCTGTGCTCTTGTCCATGGCTGTGACATTGAGAATACCATTGGCATCAATGTCAAACGTCACCTCGATCTGAGGAACTCCCCTGGGTGCTGGAGGGATTCCAGTCAGGTCAAAGCGCCCTAGCAGGTTGTTGTCCTTCGTCATGGCCCTCTCACCTTCGTATACCTGGATCAGCACCCCGGGTTGGTTGTCGGAGTAGGTGGTGAAGATCTGTGTCTGCTTGGTGGGGATGGTGGAGTTACGCTTGATCAGGGCAGTCATCACACCCCCGGCCGTCTCCAGCCCCAGCGACAGCGGAGCCACGTCCAGCAGCAGCAGGTCCTGCACCTTCTCAGACTTGTCCCCCATCAGGATGGCCGCCTGTACCGCAGCCCCATATGCTACTGCCTCATCAGGGTTGATGCTCTTGTTGAGATCACGTCCATTAAAGTAGTCCTGAAGCAGCCGCTGCACCTTGGGGATGCGGGTGGAGCCCCCTACTAAAACAATGTCATGGATTTTAGCCTTATCCATCTTGGCATCCCGAAGTGCTTTTTCTACAGGCTCCAGGGTACCCCTAAAAAGGTCTGCACACAACTCTTCAAATCGAGCTCTGGTGATGGATGTGTAGAAGTCAATGCCTTCATAAAGTGAATCAATTTCTAGGTTGGCCTGGGTGCTGGACGACAGGGTCCTCTTGGCCCTCTCGCAGGCGGTGCGCAGCCGCCTCACGGCTCGCTTGTTCTGGCTGATGTCCTTCTTGTGCTTCCGCTTGAACTCTTCCACGAAGTGGCTCACAAGCCTGTTGTCAAAGTCCTCCCCACCCAGGTGAGTGTCCCCAGCAGTGGCCTTTACCTCAAAAATCCCATCATCTATGGTCAGAATTGACACATCAAATGTGCCTCCACCCAGATCAAAAATCAGGACATGTCGTTCTCCTCGACCTCCTTTATCTAAACCATAGGCAATGGCAGCAGCTGTGGGCTCATTGATGATTCGTAGCACATTAAGTCCAGCAATCACACCTGCATCCTTAGTAGCCTGACGTTGAGAGTCATTGAAATAGGCTGGCACGGTAATCACTGCATTGGTGACAGGGTGGCCCAAAAATGCCTCAGCAGTCTCTTTCATCTTAGTCAGTACCATCGAAGAGATTTCCTCAGGGTAGAAAGCTTTATTCTCCCCTTTGTAGGACACAAGCACTTTGGGCTTGCCTCCTTCATTAATCACTTGAAAAGGCCAAAGTTTCATATCTGATTGCACAACAGGATCATTAAATTTCCTGCCGATCAGACGTTTGGCATCAAAAACAGTGTTCTGGGGATTCATGGCTACCTGGTTCTTGGCCGCATCCCCAATGAGCCGCTCAGTGTCTGTGAAGGCCACGTAGCTGGGGGTGGTGCGGTTGCCCTGGTCATTGGCGATGATCTCCACCTTGCCGTGCTGGAACACCCCCACACAGGAGTAAGTGGTGCCCAGGTCGATACCTATAGCAATCCCCTTGGCAGCAGCCATGGTTCTCTGAGGCCTATGGAGAAAGAATGAGATACTGTTTTGGCAGAATGCTTTTCAATGTTATTTATTTTTTTGAGACAGGGTCTTCCTCTGTCACCCAGGTTGGAGTGCAGAGGCGCAGTCATAGCTCACTGCAGCTTTGATCTCCTGGGCTCCAGCAGTCTTCCTGCCTCAGCCTCCAGAGTAACTGGAGACATCATGCCTGGCTAATTTTTTTTTTTTTTTTTTTGAGATGGAGTCTCACTTTGTCATCCAGGCTGGACTGCAGTGGCATGATCTAGGCTCACTGCAACCTCCACCTCCTGAGTTCAAGCAATTCTCCTGTCTCAGCTTCCCGAGTGACTGGGATTATGGGGGTGCCACCACGCCTGGCTAATTTTTGTATTTTTAGTAGATATGGGGTTTCATGGTTTCACTATGTTGGCCAGGCTGGTCTTGAACTCCTGACCTCAGGTGATCCGCCCGCCTCAGCCTCCCAAACTGCTGGGATTACAGATGTGAGCCACGGTGACCAGCCCTCTGCCTGGCTACTTTTTAAATTTTGTGTATAGATGGGGTTTCACTATGTTGCTTAGGCTGGTCTCAAACTCATGGGCTCAAACGATCCTTCAGCCTCAACCTCCCCAAGTACTGGGATTACAGGAGTGAACATCTCGTCCAGCCTATTTTTTATTTTTTATTGTGGTAAAATACACACAAATTGTACCATCTTAACCATTTTTAAGTGTAGAGTTTGGTAGTGAGTTCAATCACAGTGGTGATTGAAATCGGTCAACCGATTTCCAATATTCTGTTCATCTCGCAAAACTGAAACTGTATACTCATTAAGCAACTCTCGTTTTCCCCTCCCTTTAGCCCCTGGTAACTACCATTCTTTTTTCTCATTTTTTTTAGAGACAGGGTCTCATTTTGTCACACAGGCTGCACTACAGTGGTGTGATCATGGTTCACTGCAGTCTTGACCTCCCAGGCTCATGGGATCCTTTTGTCTCAGCCTCCCAAGTACCTGGGACCACAGGTGAATGCCACTACACCCAGTTAATTTTTAATTTTTTTTTAGAGACAGGGTCTCCCTATGTTGCCCAAGCTAGTTTCTCACTCCTGGGCTCAAGGAAATCTCCTCCCACCTCCAAATTACCAAGTGTTGGGATTATAGGCTCGAGCCAAGGCACCTGACCTCTTTTTTCTATCTCTATGAATTTGACTACTCTTGTAACTTCATATAAGTGGAATTATACAGTATTTGTCCTTTTGTGACTTTGCTTATTTCACTTAGCTTATGTGCACAGGTTTCATCCATGTTGTAACATATCAGAATTTCCTTCCTAAGACTGAGTAATATTCACAATATTTATATACAACTTCATTTGTTTTTGTTTTGAGACAGAGTCTCACTCTGTTGCCCAGGCTGGAGTGCAGTGGCGCGATCTTGACTCACTGCAACCTCCACCTTCTGGGTTCAAGCTAATTCTCCTGCCTCAGCCTCCCGAGGAGCTGGGACTACAGGCGTGCACTGCCGCACCCCGATAATTTTTGTATTTTTAGTACAAACAGAGTTTCACCATGTTGGCCAGGCTGGTCTCAAACTCCTAACCTTAAATGATCCGCCCGCCTCGGTCTCCCAAAGTTCTGGGATGACAGGCATGAGCCACCGCACCTGGCCTATATACCACATTTTGCTTATGCATCTCTCGATGGACACAGGTTACAGAATAATGTTGCTATGAACAACCCTATACAAATACATGGAGACGCTACTGTCATGGCAGAGTGCTTTTTGGACAGGGTAAAGTATTCTCAGCTACTCAAAGGAGTTTGGAAGCAAGTAGCTGTATATTGTTTTCAATTTCCCAAGTGACCTAATTCTACTGTCCTGTTCCTGTGTCTGTCATATATTTTATTGTGGGACTCTGTCTCTTTATGACCCAAGAGTAGTGTACATTCTGGTCTCTTCAAGAGACATCAGCCTCCACACTTGAGTTCTGCTGCCTTCC